AGCCAAAGTCAAGCTTACACTGCTATCGCCATTCTGTCCCTCCGATCCGAAGTGATTTCCCCAGGAATTCCCAATATGAGTTACGAGCAAATCCGTGCTGGGGAAGCGCGGAAGTCGCATGGTCTTAGGCGGGGGGCCGAAAACCTGTGATTTGTTGTATAAAGCGTGGAAGTCAGCAATTTGGCAAATTCAATTGGGGTGCCGTTTGGCTTGACAGCGCGTCCCTGTACGATTGAAGTCATACAAACGTATAATCAATGGTGAGCGGAATTGAAGATCTGGGTGTCACGAACAGGAAAAACCAACGGGATACCCCCGCGGATGGGTTTAGAGCCATCCAAAACGGCCTTCTCGCTCAGAAATAGCTGCTCGTCGCCATTGGCAAGTTTCCATGACACGACTGTGGCTCCCAAAAGATTGACGATGACGGAGTCGCCGGAGGCTAGCGACGCCTGGACCTTGTCCTCTTCCACGGAGATTGAGGGCTGCGGAAGAGGCGAGGAGACAGGAATGGCGGTAGGTTTATTTGCGCGTTCCATGATGGTGGTGGTGTTGGTAGGGTGGGTCTAATATTCCATGGTTAGGTGGTTGCGATAGCGGGGGAGGGGCGGAAGACCAGAGTGACCAGTGGCAGGTTAATGCAGATGCCAGAATACTTCTTTGTCAGCATATTGGTCTAACTAACTATAGTAACTGGTGATGCTATACAGAGATTCTTTAGTTCCCACTGGTGGTCGATCTAAGTTGGGCAAACTAACTTGAAGTTGGAAAACCATGTGTAGAGAAACCCCCTTGGGGTGCAAACGAGTGTTAAGCAATCATGTTGTATGACTGGTTGTGATAGCAAATCTTGTTGATTTCATGTATGCTACCTCTCCCCTGGTTACCTTTATTGAACAGGGAAGCAAATAAATCAGCTTTTTTACATTTGGATTACATTTTTGGGTCCAATAACAATCTCTTGATTTATAGTATTGAATATAAACAAATAAAGTACGATGAGGGTTTGCTAGGGCTCTTGATATCGGAAAATGTATAGTTATTTCCGACTGGCCGTGAAGCAGACGGTGATTAGCAGATTTTAGAGACCAAGGCATCCAACTGCCGTCGAACAAATGCTCCAGGAATAGCAAAACCCTGCGCTGTGCATTCCATCTAGTGACTTTTCTTGGTGAAGTGGCAATTTTCAACGAGAGGCCACATCCGTCTCGCTTCTTCTAGGGATTTTTCGGCTGCCATCTGGTTGATGAACATGTTCAATTGTTCTTGGCTTTGCTGACGTTTCTCCGTGATATCCATATCGGCAGGTATCCATCCATCTTCATCAGTATCCAAGCATTTCCTCGCTAACTCATGTACCTTGTGCCAATCCTCATACTCCCTGAACTGGGAATCATGCTCGTCTATCTCCTCTTGGCTAAAAGAGTATGGGCAATGGCCAGGGAAACCTAATTCATACCAGTTCGTGAATATCTCTATAAGACAGGCTCGAAGCGGGATAACCCCAACTTCTGAAATTCCACTGCAACGTTTGAACAGTTCCCGGAAAACGCGTGGAAGACTCATCGCTGTATAGGCCGATCTATTTTCAAGGTAATTTGACACTTCATATGCCTTTGCAGCTACAACTTGTTGCTGCTCATACCTCGCCAGTCCAGCCACTCGAAATCGTCAGGAAGCTCCGGCTTTTGAAATCTAATCCTCGAGCATAATCTTGTGGTGGCTCGAGGAAAATAGGCCATCGTGTTTGCAGAAATAGTGGAAGCATTGATACTGATTGCCAGTCAATGAGCGAAAGAATTTGTGATGGTTCATCAGGGGAGACATAAATGTTTCCCATATGAAGGTCTGTATGCCAAATGACCGGCTTAGCGGATTGTGCGAGAATAGGATGCGAATCCAGTAACTTTAGGAGGCGTATGATGCTTTTTAGAAGGTTAGTTTGCTCCAGAGAACTGCCCTGGTAGAAGGTTCCCGGGTGCGGTGATGAACCGCCTGAAATACGAAGCATCTCCCGCTTTGCAATTGCAATACCATATGCGGATAATGTAGTCCCTGGGACTATGTATTAGTAGCGAGGCCAGCACCAAGGACACAATTAAAATATACTCGCATGGTCCGGGATCTAATTTGGAGCCGTCCCATTCCTGACAGCCATCCATGATGAATGATCTGTCTCCTGAGCGGCCCACGAAGTTTGATGTTGAGGGGCCGGCATCCGAGCCAAGCAACTTGTATCCTGGAATATCCCTAGAGAAAGCCCGGAGATAGAGGCTGCAATACGCGGGGAGCTGGATCAAGGAAAGTTCATGTTCGAACTTATTAAGCTGCTTAATGAGCTCCAGTTTTCTGGGCTGAGACATCTCGCCCCATATCTTAAAAATAGGAACTCCAGGCGCCCTTCCTATAATAATATATTCCACACCCACTGGGTTCGTGGGATCGGAGGACCACGCGTAGACCTCCGGGACAGGAACTTTCGTGTGTTGGATCACTACGAGAGGCAGCTTAAGTTGATGGACGATGTGGAATGCAAGACAATTCCGTATTTCAAGACAACTACCTCTGATTCGGTAGTGTACACTGCTGGTCCAGAGTTGCGACACGGGATTTTTGCAATAATTTCCATCCCGTTTTCTTTCTTCATTAGCAGGGCTTTGTTGAAACCTCCTTCCATCTTTTCAACTGCCTTGATGGGGGATGCTTCGACGCCTGCCGCGGCAGCGACATCGCAGAGAGCATCCAGGTCGAACTTCACATAACGCCGTTCAAATTGGAAATTCTTATTAACAAGGAAATTCCCATTTGTATAATCAAAGAGTTTATCGACGGTGATGAGTTTGCCTAGATCATATTAGCCAATAAGGAAGGCATCTTCTTCTTTGGGTATGTATCACGATAAGATATCTGTATATTCCGTCTCAGTCTCGTCTGTTTCCCGGGAGCACCGATCTTTCGTAAAAGGGAGGAGATGTGATTTCGCATTTTCGTGCCCCAAATTAGAAGCTGAGAGATCAAGGCCTTTAACTATGTGATTATATTCCTGAGGTACTCCGTACTGAGGTCTTCAAGCCCTAGTCCCAAAATAATTAGTGCTCCCTAAGCTAACTACACCAAACATGATTGGGGTCACGGCAATGAGGAGCGATTGAAAGCCTATTAACTACCATCCAAGGCGGCTTGCATCGAGCAGGCGATCTGCCCACCAACCCAAAGCCTAACAGAGCAGCGCTCCCGTCCCCTCAGTCGGTTTCGACTGTATCCCGAACTGTATCCGACATGGAAGTCAGGAGCTCCCCTCGCAACGGTGTCACTCGCAGTGGCAAGCCTCGGCAACGAAGTGCTATTGCCTGTCAACGGTGTCATTCCCGGCGGGTTAAATGCAATGCAGCAGACTCGGGTATTCCCTGTACCAACTGTGAGCAGGCGCGATCCTCATGTCGACTCATCGAGTCCAAGCGGGGCAGGAAACGAGTGGCATCTAATCTTCCTCCCTCTGTTTCGGATACGCCTACTGGGATTAACAATATACATTCCAAACCCCCTCCCTTCAGCCATGGGTCATCCAGCAGGAGTTGTCTTACTAGAGACAACTCCCTCCCCCAAAGGCCCAGCTTGCAACTTGTAGCCCCACACGACCGGGCCCCATCTGCCGGTGAGGGTCCAGAGACGCTCTATGCCCAGGTCTTAGAGAATGCTGGAGGCTCACCCGAACGGCCCAGTTTGGTGAAGCCTGGCGGGCAGGTAGTTTATTTGGGCGAGACTTTCAATCTGACGTACTTGCTCCAGGAAACAAGCAAGAAAAGTCAGCCAGTCCCCAAGCGACACGTTCTGCTTCCACTCCATCCCAGGATGAATCCCTCCTACCAAGGCCGCAATTGCGATTCCGTGACAATGGATTTGTTACAGCGACAGGATGCTTTCTCCATCCCCAGTATCAAGATATGCAGAGAGTTATTTCGGGTTTACTTTAAATATGTCCATAAACATTACCCGATTCTGGATCGTCGCGATTTCGCTTGCCGCTACGCCGACCCGACCAACCCTCCATCGTTTCTGCTGCTTCAGGCCGTCTTGTTCATGGGCTCTGGCCATTGTGATGTGTCAGTGCTCAAGGATGCGGGTTTTAAGTCCAGATATGATGCCAGATTGGCGCTGTTCAAACGAACAAAGGCTCTATATGATTTGGACTACGAATCAGATAAACTTACAATCTGCCAGTCCCTTTTCTTAATGAGTTTTTGGTGGAATAGTCCTACTGACCAGAAAGATACATGGCACTGGCTTGGAAACTCCATCAGCCTGGCATTGACAATTGGGATGCATAGAGATACGCACAATTCTGACATGAGTTTAAGGGACCAGCGCCTGTGGAAGAAGATCTGGTGGTCGCTTTTTACTGAAGACAAACACGCAGCTGCAGCGTTGGGGAGGCCTGTCCACATCCGCCTTCGTGATTGCGATGTAGAACAGCTCTGCGAGTCAGATTTTGAGGAGGAACCAGCACGGGACCCGGAGATATTTGGTGTCCAAGAGAGAGTGGATGTCTTATATGTTCTATTTCTTAGTGACCTCTCGAAAATCGTCGAAAGGATAATAGATAAATCGTTTAATGCGCATGATAAGACTCTCGCCGCGCAGGCCGATACGCTCCAACTATGCGAAGAGTGGCTTCTAGACTGGGAACGGCGGCTACCACCTGAGCTTCACCTATCGCGGAGCGGAGAATGTGTATGGACTGGTATGCTCCACATTGCCCACTGGTGAGCCCAAGACTTTTATTATTTCGTGTACTACCTGTCTGTCTGCTGCCCTAATAAAACTATTGCTTATTCTGGAATTTCCAGCTGGTTTCGCATCTTGACCCACCGATCAAGAACGCCCGAAAACCCTTCATCACCCTCCCGCTCCACCTCTCACCAGGTTGCCATGAACGCAGCAAATCGAATGGTACGGATCATCGAAGAAGTGCTATCTTCATCCGCCATAAACCAGTGTCCTATACACGTTATTCCTGCTTTGTTCGCTGCCATGTCCATGCACGCGCAACACATTTGTTCTGGAGACCCAGTCCGTGAACAACTAGGGTCTGTGAAAATCCGGCTATCGATGATCGCACTCCGAGAACTGCAAAGCACCTGGCCCGTGAGCGGCTGGATTTTCCTCCTTTTCACGAAAATCATTCGTCGCATCCGGGATACGGATGATTACCCGCCGCCAGCCAATAGTAGCTCTGATACGATGACCGAGACGGGTGTCCAAGCGGATACGTTGGGCGTTAGTGGTGAGTCGGGAATGGCCCCCCCTGAAACGGCAACCCAACCGCACATCCAGATAACTCCCAACGGGAATGCTGTTGGCTGGGATCCCCATGGCATCACCATGCCGTTGAATTTCTCGACTGATTGGAGTGGCGTCACTGATGGGGACTTGTGTCTTGATCCGGAATTTGATTTTATGATTGGAACACCCAGGGCATCTACTCCTCGGATTCCTAGATCGAATTTTTATAATTCATAGGTCATAGTTACATTGGGCTGTGATTCTTATTTCGGCTCAGGCTTTCAATTTTGGTGAACTACAAATCATGAATAGGTCTCTTTTTTTTCAACTATAACTCACTATAGACAAAAGTGGAAGATCCAATTAGTAAATATTCTCGAGATCCGAAACTATTTTAATTAATTTGTGTGGCATCACAGAGCTGTTGAGCTGAGTATCAAATTTATACCAGATCTATATGATGAAATATGAAGTATTAAGAATAGCTAGGGCTGACATACAATGATCGCCCCCCGAGAGAAAATCACTTATTTTGAAGTCGGAAGCAAATGAAAATTTTTTTTTTTTTTTTTTTTTTTTTTTTTTTTTCCCACAGAATTAGTTATCATCTAACTATATGAAGATTCGACGGCAAAAGTTTCGCTTCCAGTTATAACCACTTTTAATCAAATATACATGTTTGGGCTGACGTTATCGACTTCTTTAAAAGATTCCAATGTTAATGGATGCCTCGACCACAGGGCGCTCATCTAAAACGCTGCAAGAATGCATTATTAATACGTATCTGAAAGCATGGTTCTTGCAGTTGTGATTCAGATCGAGGGTTTTGAGAGCGACGTTTGCTACCTTTGACGAGCTAGATAAAATTAACTCACTAGAATCAAGGTTGGTTGCAGTAATAACACCACCAGCCGCCCTTTTGGCTCAACAACTATACCGAGGTTTGACCAACTAACTAGATGAGAGATTTATAATTAAGAAATTGAAACCTTTAAACCTTTCAAGGGGTTCAAGATGAGATTTAAAGACCATATTCCAATTTGATTTTTCTTCAAAGAGATGGCTGGATGAGAGTTGAAGTTGTTAGCTAAAAGTTAGATATCCACATTTTAAAGCTAATAATGTCCAAGCGTAAGTTAACCTTTTATAAACTTGACAGCAAGCCAGAGAGTATCAATTCGGTCGCTTGCCTTGAAAATCAGAAATACCAACAAAACAAAGCCATTAGTTTTCTTTTTTTGTTTTTTTGCAAAGAAAGGCTTCATTTAAAGACTTGAGATTTGATTTGATCTCTGAATGATGAACAATTTTCACGCATAGAGGACTCTATAGAGAATTCAAGTCACACGATAACTTATCACAGCATGTATCAATATTTCATCTACAACTAAAAGCTTCATTCTTCAAAAACAGAAGTTTCTTGTTTAGTCAATCTTATTTTATAAATAAAAAGAAAACAGCTCTTTTGGCTTTTCCAGTTTGTAATCTTTATTTCAGCTGATGTAATGCTTAGGCTTGGGCCCCAGGCATCCTCCGAGGGGTTTAACTAGAAATAAGGGCCAGGCTTCGATAACAGCGAACCTGCCTGCCCGTACCTGGTTGATCATTAGGGATGACCCGAATGAAGGAAACATTAAACTGAATATGCAGTCAGAGACTTGCTCTATGTAGGCGTTTGAAAGTACGGTGGAAAAAAATAAAATAAAATAAAATAACTTGAATATTGTCAATATAAAACTCTGGAAAGCTCAGCATTTAAATAAAACAACTTACACAAACCGTGGTATACTGCATTATAAATTCATAAACGCAATATGAAAATGGATAAATATAATTGATAGTTGAGAAAAAATCTGCGAATTTCAAAGTGCTGCACCTTTTAGAAAGCATTATGTTGAGCGTTTCAATATTACAGAAGATATGGGATCTCACATGTTTTAAATTAATACTATGGCGATTTGAACCTTAGCTATTATAACTCTTACTTAGTTAATTTATCTGAATAATGGAGGTTGCTGGTAAACTTTAATTTGACATGCCGGTTCCTGTTTGTACGCCTCTGTGAACCCCCAGCACCGCGTTATATGAAGAATATTTTAAGCATGAGAAAAATATGTGATGGATTAAAAATTAATAAAAAGAAGCCAAGAGATTACAGACATTACTGAAAAATAGGGGTAAAAATATACATGTATGCAGTTTCGGAAGCACGTCTCCGTACGGATAGAGCAACCTAATGGGAAATGTTTCCTTTTTGCCTAGTTTGACGATCAGCCGTATCCATCCATCCATCCATCCTTCAACTCCACTATTGCTTCCCCCCTTCGTCAGCTCTCTCTATCACACCCTTCCCCCTCCAATCCGTCTCCTCCTTTTTTCTTTTTCCTTCTTCTTCACATTTCCAGGGATCTCGCTTCTCCGCCCGCTTGTCCCAGTCATAATCTGCTGCGTCGCTGTGTGGCTTATTCAGTCAGTCCTTGCCCCGCAGACTACCCCTCTTTTAGGCGTCAATGCCATATATCCTTTCCTTTTCCACCACAAAACATCACTCGGTCAGAAAATACTAACCATTACGCTGTGGGCAATCAGATAGATATCGTTCGAACCATCGTCGAACAATATCCGACGCAGTACTCGAAATTCCACTCGTCCCGGTTACCAAAGAGCGGATCCTAACCCCAGCTCATACCTCACGACCACCCTACACACTCAACTTCTCTCTTACCATTTTCTTAGTTGGGAGATAGCAATACCATATCCGACTGGCTGGAAATTAGCTAGCTTGCATATTTGTCATTATCGCCAAATCAGCCGAACAGATAAACTGATGGAACCAGAACAATTATCTCGTTTGCTAATTTCCTCCAGCAATCCACAGAACTTCTAGTACTTCTTGAAAGTGCAATCGGTTAACAACTAAATATGGCGGATTTGCAAGGACGTAAGGTCTTCAAGGTGTTCAATCAGGATTTTATCGTTGACGAGCGATACAATGTGACCAAGGAGTTAGGACAGGGCGCATATGGCATTGTCTGGTTGGTTACATTTACTTTTCCCTTGTCCTGGCCTCTCTCTGGATTCATTTCCTCTCCAGGCTTTTTATTTGATGTCGTACACATACATGCCAATGACATGGGGAATACTTAAATTTGGCTTCTATCTGCCATATCCAGTGCATTGAATCCGGCTAACCCACTGTTTGTTTGTAGTGCTGCCACGAATGTTCAGACTGGGGAGGGTGTTGCAATCAAGAAGGTTACAAATGTATTCAGCAAGAAAATCTTGGCCAAACGTGCCCTGCGCGAGATCAAACTTCTCCAGCATTTCCGCGGCCATCGCAATGTACGTCTTAGCCTTAACAGCCTAAACTTAACCCTAGCATTGCTCCCCCTGGTTTAAGGGTTATAGGGCTGACTTGAAGATAGATCACGTGCTTGTATGACATGGATATCCCGAGACCAGACAATTTTAATGAAACTTACTTGTATGAAGGTATGTAGATTTGTTTTGTTCTACCGTGGTGGTTCAGGTTGTTGATTTCTGCGCGTCAGAATTGATGGAGTGTGACTTGGCTGCGATCATCCGATCTGGACAGCCTTTAACCGACGCTCACTTCCAATCCTTTATTTACCAAATACTCTGTGGCTTGAAATATATACATTCTGCCAATGTCCTGCATCGAGACCTTAAACCAGGCAATCTGTTGGTTAATGCTGACTGCGAGCTTAAAATTTGCGACTTCGGCCTCGCTCGTGGCTTCTCCATTGATCCCGATGAGAACGCCGGCTATATGACCGAGTACGTTGCTACCCGATGGTACCGCGCTCCTGAAATCATGTTAAGCTTCCCCAGCTATACAAAAGCCAGTAAGCTTTCTTGGACTTCCGCATTTATTCCACTTTAGTCGATATCGACTAATAATAATATTTCCAGTTGATGTTTGGTCTGTTGGCTGCATCTTGGCCGAGCTGCTTGGTGGTCGACCATTTTTCAAGGGCCGTGATTACGTTGACCAACTCAACCAAATTCTCCACTACCTTGGAACGCCCAATGAGGAAACCCTCTCACGCATCGGCTCTCCCCGTGCACAAGAGTACGTCAGAAATCTCCCATACATGCACAAGATCCCTTTCCAGCGCCTCTTCCCGAATGCGAACCCAGACGCGCTTGATCTGCTGGACAGAATGCTGGCCTTCGACCCCTCTTCTCGTATATCTGTTGAAGAAGCTCTTGAGCATCGCTACTTGCACATCTGGCACGACGCCTCGGATGAACCCTCATGCCCCACTACATTCGACTTCCATTTTGAGGTCGTCGAGGATGTACCAGAAATGAGGAAAATGATCCTTGAAGAGGTCCTCCGATTCAGGCAGCATGTGAGACAGGGCGCTCAGACACCAACCGTGGCAGGGCAGCAGGCACAGCAGCAGGCACAACAGAATGTCCCGATTCCGGAAGACCACTCTGGCCCCTGGAAACATGAAGATCCCCGGCCCCAAGAGGCTATATATGATAGCTCCCGAAATCCCAATGACTTGGAGGCATCACTCCAAAGGGGAATGGATGTTGTTAGATAAGTATACTATCTAGACGGGAAGAAAAGCTATGAACAAGAATAAAACATTTACCAATACACCTGATACACGCAATTGCCCCTGGAACGTTTTTTTTTCTTCGAAGAATTTCACATACGCTACTCTCTTTTTGTTCCTCCATTTGACACCTTATCCTTTGTATGGTTTCAATTTCTTTTAACCAGTGACCTTCTTGGGAAGGCTGTACTTTGATTGTATTATTTGCCTTCGTTCGCTTGCTTTCTTCGTATTGCGAAGTTCGTGATTTCCAGCACTCAAAAAGGGATTATCAGGTTGTTGCTTTTCTCCTTAATTCGAATGCTTTTGCAAATTTTAAGACAAAAAAAAAAATACTTGATACACTGGATGAAATACGTTGTTGTGCCCCAAAACCCGAACGGATTGAATTGATAGATTGGGTCATCTAGGAAGAGAATGAATGGGATGTTCTTTTCAACTTCCTTTTGCGAGTTAATTTCTATCAAGCAGTCAGCCATATATAGGATATTCATCCGAGTTGTTTTTGGGATACGACATGAAATATTAATGACTGCTATTACTGATTTGTCAGTTGTTTCGGATAAGTGTTCTTTTGATGCCTGAATCCGTCATCCTCTCGCTTGATTTCCGATTGATCAATGTAGGGGCTTGTCCGAGGATATCCATATTTGTATATCATCACAGAAAGGCCGTTTTGCTACACCATGTCTATATTCAAGAAGACCTTTTGACTCCACCCTAATTCCCTACAACAAATGACGTATTGTCTTTGGTACAAGTCACGTGTATGCGGCCTTTCCTGACGCCTCGGGTTTTCCTTCCCTGTCGCAATGCATATCTTCCTGATCTTTCCTCTCCTCTCCTCTCCTCTCCTCTCCTTTTCCTTTTAATGCCTCTTCTTTCTGTTTTTTCGGCTCTCATGAGTCCATACTCCCATCAATCAGCAGTGTATTGCCATGATAACATACGTATGGCATCATGGTTGTGTTCGTCGACTATGACCAGCAAGACGCTAATTCTACGACCTCGAGTCTTCACTCTCACCACCAGAAAGCTATATTTCTGAAGCATCCTGGCTATCCGATTTTCGCAGGTTCGCACGGGAGTGGTGGTAATGGTATTAGCCGCGATAAGAACGACGATAAGCGCGCTGATACGGAGCTGGTGATGGAAGAATCTCCTGCAGTCGGGAACGGCAATGATGCTGATTGTGGACAGTGGTCAAATCCAAACCGCAATGGATTTTCGGCTGCCCTGAGTTGCTACCCGTATGCGAAAATGAACTCTTGAAATACGAGCTATGTTCTTGCCACTATTTTACTCTGCAAGAATATTTGCTTCGTTTTCCTCCCTGCGTTTGTACAGAGGGAATTCATATACTAAGGATAAGAAACCATTCTCGTTTACCTATAGTGTTGTCGTTCAGATTGCCAGGTCTGTCGACCTGAACACGCTGGATTCGTTATCCATGACATGTCGTCAGTTCCGCGCGAACCTCTTGCCCTTCCGCTCGCAGCTCGTCAGGGAAACCTTACGGTGCCGGAACGAGCCTCTGGATGATGCGTTATCGAATAGAAATGGCGACGGTGACAACAGCACTGTACTGGGTTTTGCTGCAGCGGAGGATGCACCTGACGTCTTCCAGAGCTTCCCCCAGCCTACTACCACCGCTTCCAGTATTGATAGATCCTCGAGCATTCGTAGATTCACCACGGGGAAAGTGGGACGATGTGCTCGAGATATGGTTGCGGAATGCCAGAGATGCATGTACGTTTACTGTAGAGTAAGTAGCATTCTATCCCTGTGCTCGTAAAATTTTGGCTGATATATTCTTCATCAGAACTGTACCATGAAACCCATTGGAGCGTCACTGTTGAAAAGCAGATTTCGTCGCCTTTGTCCCACATGCCTTGCTGCCCCTTTGTCCGATCACTTCTTAGATTCCGTTTCTTCAGGAAATGATAGCCATGACTCCAACTGGAACTACCCACCGTTACCAGCACAAACGAAAACACAAGTGTTCACTGGCGACGCACTTGATCTCAACCTCTGCCATTGTGACGAGTCATTCTGGCTTTGCAGACCGTGCGGCCATATTCTCAGATCAGATGATACCACATACAAACGTGTGTGGACTTGGAGGACCCGTTATAGTGCATATCTAGGTTGTGGGCTAGGCACGGGCATTGGTGAAGGTTGGCAGGGCGTCAAATGCGGACGCGGGGAAGGATGTCTCGCTGCAGAGGAGCTTGAGATGGAGGTTGACTGTGAAGTAGATGATTGGATGTCTGATGATGCAGACCATATCAATTTCATTTCCCATCCTCATAATAATCGTCACGGTAATAATGGTGGTAATGATAACCATGCCGCTTCGCGACAAAACGACGACGGACATGGTGATGAAGAACCCGGCTATCTGAGACAGGAAATCGAAGGCGTGGGCGGGGTGGTGAAGCAGAAGGTTAAGAAGAGGTTAAAGGTGGGTGCGTGTGTGGAGGAGCATGAAGATGAGAGGGAAACGGCGTCGTATTTGAAGAGAGAGTACTTGGGGGATGTGAGGAGTTGGTGCGGATGGTGTCAGAGGGTTGTGCCGTGCCACAAGGAGAGAGAGCATCTGGAGTAATTAATGTCACCCAAGAATCCCTGCCCTCATTTACTTGTCTCTGTGAGGAGTTCCTGGGTTGTTCCCTCTACTGATGTAGAAATCTACTTATGTTGTGTTATTAGACTAGATGACACTTGATCCTATGCTTCGTGTTTGCCTGTGATTCGATACTTGATATATAGCATCGGTAGCCTTCAAGCCAAATGAGCCTCAGTTATCACAACTAGTCCTGTGTCACTGGTATATATACATATATATATTGGATTAGCGTATCATATTGAACCTCTTCAGGGTAAGTTAGTGAATGTGAGAATGGCAAATATTTTGGACATCATCTTGTTGGCTTTCATCAAGATACGCATCCGATGTGCTCTTTTCATACCATGCTCACTACACAAATCTGTTTTTGAGATTCCATTTCCATCCTTTTCTCTTTCGCCAAGCTTTGTGAGACTTGAACCAATAAATTTGAAAAAAGAAAAAAAAAATAGGGGAAGGGAGAGTTGACCATTTCTCTGCCCGGTGAGTGTCTGACGGAGTGTCAAGCGGGTGTGGTATTTGGAAGAGCGGGATAGAAGCCAAATCAAGGGGGACGGGTGGGTGCAGGCAAGATCCTGAAAGCCAATGAAGTCCACTGGATTAGCTACAAGTGCTGAAAATAATAATAATCACTCTTGAAAATCGAGATGTTCACGTGTGTGTGGGTGTATATTTCGCATAGCCTGACGATGCAGGGTGAAAAAGAGAATCGAGTTGATCAGAGGAGAATGACACGGCACCTCTCTCTCTCTCTCTCTTTCTCTTGCAAAGACACGGCCAACGTCTGTCGTTCTATCACTCTTACTTAGTACTGGCTCACAGTGGCGGCGTCCATCAGAGGGGAAAGTTTCCAACTACGCGACAGACATGGTACGGGCTATTTTGATAAAGAAGGAAACAAAAATGGTGGTGGTACAGGGCTCAGTACCAGCGTCAGGACGCATAGGCTGGAAAACTATTACCCTAAGTACAGTTACAAGTACTGGGTGAACCGTAGAGATGAATCTTGGGCAAGGGCAAAATGTTTCTGCGCCGATTTTGTCTTACCAGGTCTTTTCCACCGCTCTATCGTAGTTGACATGGGCCCCTGGATCTCTACCCTTCAGTCTAGGATTTTTCGAGAAATTTCGGTAGTAGTGTATGGCTCCATATATACACATATGCATCCATCTTTTTTAGGTGTACAGAAGCCATTTTAGTGAACTGAGTTCTGCAGTACTTCTTGACTGAATCTTGGAAATCTCAAAAATCTCTGTTTATTATCTTTGGAAGAGAGCGAGTTTGCTGTCTACTGAGGCAGTGCATGTGTCGGAAGTGGATAAAGCCCGAATATTGACCTAAATACTGAATATTGATAGATAAATTGAATTTTCTATTCTAACTCTGATAATTACATGAGAACTAGGAAGTATTTATAGGAAGAGAATGCTTGAACATATGAGAAGGGCAGTGCTAAGATCCAGTAGCAGTACGTTACAGAATCCTTAATATGAGATATTATCTCTGACATTATCTCTGACAGCATGGCAAATAGAATGCTTTTCCCAATAAAACCCTTCACAAAGTTTGAAGAACTAAGAAAACCAGGGTTTGGGGTCGATTAAATGATGTGTGCAGACCCCAGATCTACGAGTAGTCATTAAGAAGAATTCCTTGACGAAAGTCACCTCTTACTTTCTCAGTAACTAAATTGTTGTGCTCGGCTGTAAATGGGGATTGGGTTTTTGAAGACGTGAGAAACGGGCAGTCGAGTGTAAGTTGGCAACTATCAATCTTGATTGCAGTAATAATAATCACTGAGGGGTGTTTCCTTCCGTTTGTGACGAACTACATTTCTCGTACCAAGCTAATGAGCATTGAGTTTATGTCCGACATCTGAAGTTAATATGCTTTAGGATCCACCCATCTAAGATTTAAAGCCATACCAGAGACCATTTCTCACGTTCTTGGGTCGTCCCAGTAACACAATTTTCAATGGAATGGACCATAGGATTATCTAGATCTGGGAGGAAGAAACCACCTTTGCCAGTTATGGCCGTTTTTGGTTTTCAAAGCCGATCAGGGCATGGGCTGACCCTACAGCCCTTTCCAGGATGAATGAAGGAGTGTGCAATGTTTCTCCCTGGCTGGACGCCTCTTCACATAAATTTTCAACCCTCAGGACTGGAGTAAATAACACCACGTTTCTACAACGAAATGGCCTATAAGTATGAGTTATTAACACAAATGGCAAGGGAGGCAGGAAGCCAAAGCCACATTGGAATGTTTGGTCCGATGAAAAAAAAAAAAAAAAAAAAAAAAAAAAAAAGGTTTTAAGAAGGTGGTGAGGTTTTATTTCGGTCTCGGCGCGGCAAAGAAGCATGACGTCATTGTCACATGTGTCCAAGCTGTAGGGAAGTTGGGTGGCAGATTTGGACATGGTGCAATACTTTAAGCCATGCCTGCTGCTATAGTTGCCCAGAATCTGTCAATGGGAGAGACAATAATATTTTTCTCTATGGAAAGGTTCTGCAAGCAGGAGAAACGTTGTGTGTTTTCAGTCCGCTGGATATCCTGAAGAATGAACGATTGAAGAGACTAGTAATGTACAGATCTTTAGTGAAGACTCGTAGATGATAAGCTTTGGCCTAGACAAGGAGATCTGTTTGTGTTTTCTCCACCTTTGACCCAGATATCCAAAGTAAAAGACTTGGGCCCTTTACACACAGTGCCGCGGTATACCATTGATACTAGTACTAGTACTCAATCGGAAAGCCATTCAGTTTGTCGACAGAAATAACGCTGTCTCCTCACGAGCGAATAAGCTGCGAATGGAGATAGATGCAATATGAGCCAGCTATACGCTCCAGAACATGGAGAAAAATATAGTGGGATATATATTTTTATATCTATCTATATGTTGCATGCATATGCATGCGTGAACACATGCATTGGCCGATGCGGTCTGAGACGGATGCCGAATCCGGACATTGGCAGCAACCGTTTTTAGAACTCACCAGTCAACCCCAAATAGGACTAGTGAAGACTATTCTTAGACTGCTGGCCGAAAGAACGCTAGTGCAGAAATCTTCAGCCAATGGGGACGCTAGCTGCTTTAGGGTGTGACTTCTTCGGGAAGGACCCAGGCCTGTTCCCGATTTAGCACTTCACTCACCTTTCCTTGTTTTATGGAAACCTAAATCCGACTTCAAGGAAAGCAGAACAATAACATCGTCCCCATAGGCTAGTTGGTTGCTCTCACGACACTCGTCCAAGGGAGGACGGGAACTCCCAAGTCTCCTCTGTTGTTAAACGTGGGACGAGCTGAAATCCCCAAGCCTTGGTAAGAAGCACAGGCCTGGGGCATTAGCTAGGGCAGCGTGAGACCCTTTCGGATAGGACTAGACAGAGCAGTCTCATGCGCTTCGAGATTCTTCTCTCCAGGGCTATGATAAACTTCCGCGCAGGCTCCCCAGATGTCAAGTAGTGCAGTCCCGCAGTTTGCATGCAGGTTTTCGTGAACGGTTCCGCTAACTCCTGGTAGTGATCGATTAATCCACGTTGCGGAAGAATGTGGTACTCCATAGGGACCATCGTTCGTGGTCCATGCCTCCTGAGGTCCTTCGCAGCTAAATCGGGGAGCCTTCAAGGGATGGTCGCCTGCACTTCGTCCTTGGCCTGCATCGTGGGCTGATGGTGACCATACCGCATCGAGCAAGGCGGAGATATAATAATAGCAACATGAGCCTTGATGTGGAATGATCTTTTTATAGTTTTAGAGTTAACCAACGATTTCCCTCCAAATTTATGGTTAATTTTGGAGAAACCACGCTAAACTTGGCACTTTGCCCTGACGTTTCAACCCCAAACGTCGAACATCTTCAACCCCTTACGGGACACACGCTGCTCCCGCTGGTTCCCATTATTGGCCCATGGGCCGAGCACAGATCGTCTCAATCCAAAAGCGGCTAGTCTTCAGCGCCTCAGCCGCAGATTCATTGGGCGCTGTTTGGAAGTTGGAACCAGTGCAGGATGCTGGTGGTTTAGCATGGTCTAGCGCTGTGAATCGTGATCCAGGCACACCCACCAATGGACACCACGCGGGCTAGTTCCTGCATCAGATGGGACAATCCCTTCCAAACAAAGCCGATTCATGGCCAGGCTGATAACTATATATCCTCCTGCGCATTCACCTGCTTCAGGTCAGGAATCGGGATTATCTGTAGTCTCTCTGCGCAAGTTAGCAACTTAGCAGCAACTTAGTCGGCTTTCCAAACCTTGTCTTCGCCGCTAACGTATAACTATTCTATTTCTATTTTTTTTTTTTCCTCTTGCGGACCCCTTACTACTAGTAATACATCAACCCCCAACCCCACCTCCCCCTGTCGACCACTACTATGTACCGTGGATAATCCAATTGCATCAGCTGTGCATCGTTTGTTTCAACCCGTCCTCAGATCTGAGCCATCCCTACGCTTGAGTGTCTTTATCATCCTCCTCGATTCCGCTGCTCGAAATCAATAATGGCCAGGATGTCGCCCAAGCAGCGCAAGCTTTTGAGATCGGAGAGGAATTGTGATAAG